GTAATTGCTCAACCTTTTGAAGGAGATTTGGGGGACAACCTAGGGAGTATTAGGGTACCAGGGAGAGGCATCTGCCACTGCCCAGGGAGGAAAGAGGGAAGGGCTGGGGGTGCAGAAGGAAGGTGCTGACACTAGTAACCCAAAAGCAGCTAATGTCCCCCTCACATATTTGCACCTGAGCACGGCAGGTTCACCGGACGCTCATTCATTTGATTTCTGGAAAGCATTAATTTACTGAGCCACGAGATCGGTTTAGTTAAATGTGACTTCGTGGTGTGGAGAAGACAGGGAAAAAGAAAGGAAAAGAGGGACGGTGAGACATGAGAGGAGCAGAAAGCTGAGGAAAAAAAGCAAGGGCAGGGAGAGAATGAAAAATGAAAATAAATATAGATATCCGGGTTTGGAGAGAAGAAGGTGCAAGGGGCTAACTGAAGTCACTTAAAAAAATAATTGGATTAAGTCAATCCTCTCTCTCCAGCTCATGTTCACCTCCTTTTCCTATTTCTCTCACTCTCCCTTCTTTCTGTTTTTTCTCTCCCAGACATGCTGGTAGCTAACATTCGGCATTAGTTGCCATGGTGACCATAAATCACATAAATCCAAAAATACCCACCTATAATCTGAGATGAAGCTTTTATTTCCCTAGCGAAATAATATTTTAAAAGCTGTCAGCTGACACACACACACACACACACACACACAAAAAAAATAATAAAATAAAATGTATATAAAAAAGAGGAACCCACTCCATTGTAGTAACCTTGGTAATGTATTACTCTAAAGGTTTAAATTAAAATGTCAGCATGTCCAAAGCACACTGGGAAAGTCTGGGGCACTCTTCATGTCAGACCCTCACAAAGACGTTGACTCAACCACTGCTCCTGACGGTTCTTCGACACACCTGCACTCTCCGTGCCTGTGTTTGCCCCGGGATTTTATTCAACTTTAGCAGTTGAGGTGGGGGTGGGGAGACGGACTGTAAGCACTGGTTTGTAAAAGGAGTGTCCTGGGTCTCAAAGAAGCCTGGTCCAGTGGTGAGGATTTTAAAGGACCTTTTGTGGGCGGGTGATCTTCGGATGGCTACTTAGATGGGGACGTCCTGAAGAAGTTAAGAAGAGAGAGAGAAGGGCTGGAGTGAGAAGGGCTGCCTTCTGGAGAGCTGAGTGTCCATCAAGTGCTGTGGTTAGAGAAGCCCAGGAAGGGTGGGTCTCGTCTTCTACCCCTGCCTCCTTTCCCCTGGGAAGAAAGTTTCCCACTGGGAGTCCCTAGGGAGGGGCCTGTGGTTGCTGTCGGGGCCTTTTGTCTTCTAACTTGGGCTGTTGTCTTTTGCCTATCTTGGATTACAGGGCATTCGCCTAGATGAAGAGCCATTAATTACCCATTCAGTCAATATTAGGAAGACGACAAAGCTTTTTACATAGGATTAAGAAGACATCAGATTGTTCCATTAGTATATTCCTGCTCACGAATAAGCTTTCGTTATACATTTCCTTTTCCCCGGAGTCGCTCTAACAACCGCTGCATATATTAACAGCAGTCTGCGAGGAGGAGCAGCCTAGGCGACCTAAAGAAACTTTGAGGGAGAGTGGAGGCGGTTGGGAGGAACGCCACCTGCAAACAAGGCTTGCCACCGATCGTCAGGGACTGGCAACCTGGACATCTGGTACCATTTCCCACCGGGATTGGGGGTTGGAAGCCACAGGCAGGGAGGCAGCTTCTGCCAGTCAACTGCAGGTTTAGTGGTGGTGGAGGTGGTGTCAGCCGGGAAAAGAAAATAGATAACTGTCACCGCCCAGATCTCTTTGCTTTTTCAAGCTTCAAATCTCCTTCAGCTAGCACCTGCACCTTGCCTCCTCGTCACGGACAAGATCTCTCCAGTTTCCCACGCAACCTCCCCCCCCCAAGGGCTCAGATCCCTGCCCCAGGCACCCCCACTTTTGCATTTTGCTCCAGAAGGTTTGAGTGGCTCTTGTTAGAAGGTCTCTCACTTAAGGGAAAGCGGATCATTAGCTTTTGTGGGTGACTTAGGAGTCCACGTAGCTCGAGCTACGCCAACATTTTCTGGTTAAGTGAATGGGAACCCAAGAAGGAAACTGAGCCCCTCGGGGGCCAGAGGCTTACCCGCACCCTCCGAAGGGGACTGAGCTGCCACTGAGGCAGAAGGTGTGTGTGTGTGGCGGGGTGGTGGTGGTGGTGGTGGTGGTGGTGGTGGTGGTGGTGGTCCCAGGGTGTCTGGAGGACCTTGGAGTTTCCTTCCGAGGTAGGAAAAAAATCTGGGACGTGGTGTGATCGAAATACTTTCAGACCAGCCATTCTGTCGAAGCTATTTAAAAATTAATGGCGTGGAAAGCGGGCGAAGTACTGGCCGTCTGTCACGGGGCTTTGAGGCCCGGCGGGCAGCGCCACGGCCTTTCTGCACGCTGTTCCCTTCCTGAAGGTCAAGACCATTTTAAGAGTTCCTAAAAACCGTAGCTCTGAGAAGTCTTCAGCTGGCCTTTGCTCCTTTCTAAAGGACCGGCCCAAATGCCCCCTTCTCCTGGTGCTGGGCCACGATTCCATTAACTCTCTCAGTCCCTACACTGCCTTCAGTTTCAAGATTTGAGTCCTGGTGGAGGGTGTAAGGAGCCTGGCTTAGCTCTTATGCCGAGCTAGGGTACTCCTGAAGGAGTGCGCAGCCGCAGGTATTTGAGACAGAAAAGCTAGGCGCCATCACTGCGTCCTACGGCTCCCCCTGTGACACTTAAAAAAAATATATATATATATATATTTTTCATATATATATATATATGAAACCTTAAAAGGGCAGAAAGTAAATCCCAGTCAGAAGTTTGTGTATTCCGTAAATTATTATATTTTTAATAATCCCTAAAAGGTACTTAACTCTGGTGACCTTCCTGAAGTGATTAAGGGCTTTTGCTCACTCGTCTATGACATTTTATTTTGATTTATCAATCGACTGAAAAATAAAACAGTAAAATCAAGGTTTTCAGTATCTCTGCTCATCACATGCCTCTTTTAAATTAATGCCATTAAACACGTTTGGACAACATTTTTTTTTTCCTTCGGTCCAAAAGATAGAAACACAGACCTTTTGTCAATGTAGGGGGAGACCCTTTCATAAGCGCTCTAAAACAATTCGTCCTGCAGGTAAATCTACAATCTCTCATCTGTCTCTGTCTCTGCTCACCCCCCCCCCCCACACACACACACAACAGATTTTCTTTTTCCTTTCTTTCTCCTATTATCAAAAGCTAATGCCAGGGCACTTGGCAGCGGGAACTCAACTCCACAGGCTCTTAGACACACATTGCCTACCTACAAGGAAAGACCTTATCCCATCGCGGACTCCTTGACTGGGTCCTGCATCTATTAGCTCAAAAAACAAAACAAAAACAAAGAACAACAACAACAACAAAACAGGCCACCTGGCCTCAGAAACAATTCTTTGGGTCAACGAAGTAAGGGGAAGGGTCAAGACCTCGGGTCACAGGCCACAAGATGTACCGAGCCCTCCTCTGGGAGGCTGCCGGCCCGCCCCCTGCGAAGCCAGATTTGGGCTTTCCAGGTCTGGTCAGGGCCGAGGCCCAGCCTGCACAAAGCTTTCTCCCAGGGAGTCGTCGTCGCTGCTCTTGATTTTTAACCATATCCCAAACATTCTCCGGTCTAATAATTTATTTTTACGACCGATTATCAAACAGAAGAAGAATTTAACACAATCTTAATGACAGAAATCACCAGACATTATCTCTGCATTGCCCCCATTTAACCCCTTGGGGTTAATCCCGGACAAGTGAGCGTTTAACCGGCCCAGCAGGACGACTAAGGAAGTGTTCAGGGCCGGGCGGGGAAAGCCGCAGCTCGTTCTAGATGTTTTGTTTCAACAAATGATGCTTTTCGCTCGGATGCACGCAGAAAGCCTTTGTTGTTGGTGTTTTTTTTCCCCTTAGTAATAATTTTTTGTTTGCTCGACAGGGGTTCCGAATTACTCACCTTGGCACACGTTACATTTGTGTGTGGGGCTAGGGGCCGCGGGTGGTGGGGAGTTTTATCTCCTCACACAATCAAAGGTCAACAACCCCCTAAGGTTGGGCACTTACTCGGTATGGAGCCTGGAAACCCGGAGGATAGTAAAACAAAACAAAACAGCAAAGAAAACCAAAACGTAAATAAGGATTTTACATGTATTCCAAAGAAAGGCCTCTCCATCTCTCGTGGGCGCGCGCGCGCGCGCGCACACACACACACACACACACACACACACACACACACACACACACACACATTATTTAAGGACAAGTTTCAATTTCATCAAGGCCTTGGCTGTGCGTGGAAGACCTTTTAACCTTTCGCACAAGCCAACGGACGGTTCTGGGACGAAACCAGCCAATCCAGGAACCGCGTTATCCCAGCCCAAGGCCTAGCAGCCAGGGCAGGCAGCAAGGGCTGGCGGACAGGAGCTGGAGCTCACGAGCCCTGCGGACCTGGTGCGCTGCGCGCAGCTGCTGTCTCCGGCTCTTCGGAAATATTGCCCAAATCCAGACCCTCCGAAAAGAGTCCCCGACGCAACTTTCCAGCGTTTGCCAGAAGCGTTAAACTCCGCACCCACCAGCCCCGGTGGGGCAGTGGCTCCGAGCCTCAGGGACCCCGTGGGCCCTGGCGGGGCCGCATGCAGTGGGAGCTGGCGAGCAACAGAGGTCGCTGTTGGACCACTTTGTAGGGCCAGACGGAGCGGCGGCGGTAGGCCCGGGCGTGCGCAGGGGATCAGACCACAGGGGGAGAGGAAAGGGAGAGGTGTTGGGTCTCAGGAGTGCAGTATAATTTGTGGAAAGGAATTAAAGTCCCCCGGACGGCTGCTCCGCGTTCTCCCCGGCGGCCAGCCGTCTGGGTCCTGCAGCGGGGACCCCGGCTCCGGCGGCTCCGCCCGCCCGGGCTTGGCCGGAGGCCCCCAGTCCCGGAGGCGGGAGCCCGGCGCGCGGCCTGCGCCTCCCTCCCCCCCTTACCATTGGCGCCGGGATGCTGCCGCGGGAACGGCTTGCTGCTGGCTGCCTCTTTCCGGCTCTCGGGAGAGTCTGTGAACTCGACCTTTCTGATTTCGGTGTCTTTGGAGAAGAGACATTCAACGGCCGCCGGCTGCACGCCTGGGCCGCGAGCGCGCCCCGCCCCACGCGCGGTTGGCAGGGGGTGCCAAAGGGCGGCGGAAAGGCGCCCCCGGGACAGAGCCAGGGTTAGGGGGGCGAGGCGGGACGGAGGAGAAAAAGGGGACAGAGAGCAGAGACCCCGTTAGAGGAAGGACGGGCCGCGTGCCCAGCCCCCGGGCCCCTGGCCACCCAGTGCAGCCGGTGATCTGTCCCCGTGCCACCGGACGGGCAGCCTGGAAGAGGGTCAGGGCGGGCCTCGCCGGTCCACCTGAGTCCAAACCTCCCGTAAAGGGCAAGGCCGCGGCTGCCCTACTCTGATTTTTTTTTTTTTTCCATGAGGCCTCCCGGAGGAAGCTCCAGCTTCTGCGAGCCTCGCTGGGCGAGCCGGCGCCTCCTCCTCTCCTCTCTCGCTTAGCGCGGTCTCCCTTCCAGGGACCCGGGCGCGAGGAGTGGGCTCTTACCTAGTTGCACGCACGCCGAAACCAGTTTGCGACAGTTGGTCTCCATCCCCCGTTATCTGCAAAAGAGAACAGAGGCGCGGCTTTGAGTTGCTGCTGCGGCCGGAGCAGGACGATCAGCTCCGGCGGCTAGCCGCCTGCTAGGGGCTGGCGTTTGGGCAGGCTTCTCTCCTGGAGCGGAGGGAGCAGCATCCTTCCAGCCTCGGATCCAGGACTCCCGCCGATGTTTACCTGGAGGGATTTTACGTCCCCAGCTGAAGGGGAGGAAAGGCCCAGGGGTTAGGAGGCCAATAAAACCGCGGGCTTCTGGAGGAGCTGCGGAGGACTACGTTCAAGGGCGACTAGGCCAGGGAGCAACCTTAAGCTTGTACACAATTTGGGGATGGGTAGAAGTGGGACTTCTCCTCAGAAAGATCACCATTCAATACGGTGTCAGTCAATCTGAGCTCAGCAAACATTTGCAGAAGGCCAGAAACAGCTTGCCCGGCTCCACAAAGCCACTTTTCCCCTCTGTTTTCTGTGATTCTGAAAGGAAAAGACAAGGTGCCCCGAGAGCGAGCTGAATTAGGGCCTCTCCTCCACCAGGAGCGGCGTTTCCATATTTAGCCACTCTTTTCCCTGGAGATGCTCACCCGGCCATGTATTTACCCTAAAGTATGATTTAAGATCGTAGAGCTGAGAACGCGCAACGGGCTGAGCGAGACAGGAGACCCGGGCAAGCCTTTGTGGAGGGGCCGCCAAGTCCAAAGAAACAGCAGTGGGGAGGCTGCTCCTCCAGTTCCTGCCTATCCTTTTCAAATTTCCAACCGCAGCTCAGACAGCCAAGCTTTTGACGGGGGCCCCTTTTCTTTGCCACAGGCAAACCGGGAGAGGTGGGTGGCGGAGGGCTAGATGGAGTGGTCGCTTTCAAGACAAGAAAGGGAAGAAGGCGGTGGGTTTCTCAGGCCCTTGAATCTTCGGTCTTGCTAACTGTGCTGCGCCTGATACCCGGAGAGTCCCTTTCCCTTAGAGCCTAGGACTGGAGGTGGGAGCCGGCTTTGCCAGGCTGGTGGGCCGCATTTTGGCCTGAGGTGCATTTCCAAGCTCCTCAGCCTCTCCTGGAGCAACCCAAGCTCCAGGGGCATTCTAGCCAAGGACGCGCTGCCTGGAGGAGGGGCCTCCCGGTGTGGACGCCTGGGGAATCCGAGATTGGGGGGCCCGTACGCGGTTCCCCCACCAACTAGTGAGTACCCGGTGGGGACTCTGCGGATCCTCGTGGGCCCGTGGGCCCAGAAGTAGCAGTTTGGCGGCTCCAGATTTAGCGATTCTGCAGTAAAATCACAGGATTAGTCCCTGATTGAGATGTCTGTTCGGGAGATATTACAAAATTCATTATCACAGCTTTCTACTAACTCGATATGAAGTAACACAGATGGGATTTTATTAGTCCAGACTTCAAATGTTTACTTATGATAATTTCGGGGGAAATTTGCATGTCATCATCATTTCGATAATCTTTTTTTTTTTTATATGTCTGAACTGGCTGCATTATTAGCCAGTAGCCACAGCGTTGCAGATGGCAACTGCAAATAGTTTTATTTATTTTCTTTTAAAGGACTGAAATATATATAAGAGAAAGACCTTCTCACGGGCTGTAAAGTCTGTTACTGCACATCCCCCACCCCCACGCTCTGGTGCTGAACATCGAACAAAGCAATAGGAAGCCAGAAAACCTTCAAGAACGGATGGACTCCAGCCCAAGGAATGAAAAGAAGCTCAAGATATGGTCCTTCGCTCTTGGCTACATGTCCTTGTGACTCTGAGGCGCGTTTTGCAGCGATATGAATCCTGAGACTTTGATTCCATGCTCCATATAATGACCAGGCCTAATAAGTGAGTTCTGTCTACCTAACTGAGATTTCTTTCCCCCTTTAAAGAGAGATCTTCAAGTCTTATCTGCTGATACTTAAACGTGCCCCATCAAGGCAGCTAATAGGTGACAAATTTCACTGCTAGATTACAACACTGGTTTGGGTGGCTAATCTCGACATTTTAGATAGGAGATGTTTCCTGATTTGAAGTTATCCTCACGCCAAAAGTTTCCACGCTGGTTGGAATGTATATGCCAAGCCATCCGGCTAGGGCCAGCTTCCAGTCCATATTGTGATTGTGTTAATAAAGCACCACACAGCAATTAGCATGCATGATACCACCCTAGCCAGGCAGGCAGGCAAGCCCTAAGAAATAGAGCAGCTTGCTTAAAAAAAAAATCTGACACAAGCAACACAAGAATGGAATCATAGAAGAAACCATGGTTCTAATCATTCCAAAACAAAAGAAAACAAAAACACAAAAAACCCAAAACCTTTCCCATTTCACCCCTTTCCATCTACCTCCTCATCCAATAACAGAACCATTCATGGAAAGCTGAAGAAAAAAAAAAAAAAAAAGGACGGGACATATGTTTTAAATGAACTAAATTGGGGTGATTAGGCAGTAAATTAATTTGCAGTGGGCAATCATTTAAGGAAATTAAGATACCATTTTAACACAGCTCCGTGTTTTACCACGAGCAAGCTTTCTTTAAAGCTCCGTGGAATGTGTGCTTCTGGAGCCTGTTAGAAGGCAGCCCTGCTCAACTTACAGGACAAAACAGAACGATAACTTAAGCCTAGTTTTGCTGAGGCAAAGCGAAACATTCCATAAGTGAAGTGGCTACTTAAAAAAAAAACAAAACAACAACCTAAACTTTGATTATTGGAGTACTGTGCTCATTTTCAACCCCACCAACCGAAAGCAAAGGCTCAGTTCATTTTGGTGATGAGCTTTGTTTCTCTGAAATTATTGGTATGTGCTTTTTAGGTGGTCAAAACATCTTTAGTTGTGATTAATGGTCTGAAAAGGATGCAGAGATCACTTAAAATCAGATTATTTGCTTGTTAGCTAGTTTAGAATGTAGGAGTACCTATTAATGTAATTCAGATTAGCAAAAGTTCCTCCTCCCTCGTTTTAATTTGCCTCAATAAAATACAGAATAAAAAAAAACACAAGAGAATAAAAACAAAAAAGTGCCAGCTTCTTGGGCGAGTTTGATTTCTAAATTGTTTAGGAACGGTCATTCAATTGGAGTAAAAGGACCGTATTTCCTCCGGCTTGGAGTCGCATGTTTTGACTTAGTTACCAGTTGCAAAACAGTTGCGCCTCTGCCTCCGTTTAAAATGCATCCCTTGCAGTACAAGATTGGAGCTGACTGCTGATCAATTTAAAGGATTTATAATCCGAAGTAATTGTGTGGGCTTGGCATCCAGGCCTGGCTCCCAGGTAATTCGCTTGGGCCTGAGAGGTCACTGACTGCCAGTTAAGATGGAATCTTTTCTCTCTCTCTCTCTCTCTCTCTCTCTCTCTCTCTCTCTCTCTCTCTTCTTTGCAGTGGGTAATGATGGGAAGGGGCTAATCGATTCCAGTAGCAGAAACTTCGTAGCGAGGGGGCCCTTTATCTTGGGTCGGCTAATCCTCGGCCGGCCGGAGGCTTTCTCCCTATCCCATTGGCATCGAAATTTCAGGGAAGATGCCTCGCTCTAAATGCCAGCCATGTCTGGCTTCCACTCGACTCCAGCGCCCGGCAGGATTGTCCTGGCGTCTGCGGTTGAGGACCAGAGGATCAGGGGCTCTGCAGGATCTATTGGGGCAACTGCGCTACCTCGGGGGCAAAGCGGCCGGGAGAGCCACAAATCACAGCCGGCGGAGGTCCTTCGAAGTGGAACAAATTTCCAGACTCGCATTATCTCACAGCTCCGTGGGGGAGACAGGGCCTCCACTTACCGGCTACCGGAGCGAGCGGCTGTCTCCGCGTCCCGCCGCTTCCCAGGGTGACTGCCAGGCGGCGGAGGGCTCGGGCCGCGCAGCCGGCTCCGGGGAGCGGGCCCTGGGGAGGTGGAGGGGGGACCTCGGGGATCCTCAGGGTGCCAAGTTCCGAGAGGGTCTCCGCGGGGAGCCGCGAGAGCTAGCGGGCGCCGGCGGCCGTCTCCGTCGGCTGCTCTCCGGCTTTCTCTGCGGGTCTCGCGCGCTCTCTCCCCTCCCTCGCTCTCATCCCTCTCTCTTCCCTCCGCTCCGACTCCGTGTGCGGAGTGACGTGACGTCAGCAGAGATTCCACCAAACTCCAGTGCACAGTGGCGCGCGGGCGGGCGGGCGGGCGGGCGGCCGAGCCTGCTGTAACGCTGGGCGATCACGGAGCGAGCACGACGCTTGGGCCACTGTGGGGGGTGGGGAGGGGTGGGGGAGCGTACCGGGGCGACCGAGGGGACGCGGGATGACGAGGGCTGGCAAGTGAAGTCCTTGGGGGTGGGGCTGCGGCCCGGGACAGGACCCCGGAGGGAGGCAGCGAGGGAGCCGGCGGGAGGCTTCCAAGGGAGCTGGCCCTGTGGCCGGGACCAGCACTCTAACTGGGGAGGGGGTGGGGTGGGGGATGAGGACGGGATGGAGGGCGAGGAAAAAAAAAAATGGTGCGTCAAACCCCAGGGCCCTTCTAAATCTAAGTGGGAGGGCCGGAGCCCGGGGAGACAGAAACCGATTCTCGAGGAGCAAAATCACGAGGAGGGGGCACGGAAAGTGGTCCACGGAAGGAAACAAAGGGCAGCGTGCCCTGGTTTGACACCGGTGAGGCTTCTGGAGGGTGGGTGTGAGTGCGCGCGCGTGCCCGACCTCCTTTCAGGCCTTTCGGGGCAGAGGAGACCTGATTACAGCGCGGCTGACTCCAGAGAGAGGTCCACGGAGGGCAGACTGGAAGTGGGCGGATGGATGGGGTGTCGAGGGAGATGGTGACTGTGGAGAAGTATCAAAAGCAGGGTGATCTAGTAGCAGCGAGTGGGAGGGCCACGGGGGAGGGGAGGATGGGGGAGAGAGAGAGAGAGAGAGAGAGAGAGAGAGAGAGAGAACCAGAGGAAGGCCTAGACTATAGCTAGGGCAGACTGGGAGCCAGTGTCTTGAGGTCAAGGCGGGCGGATCCCAGCGTTTGGAGAGTAAAAAGCGCAGGTACACAGGGCCACACACCGACCAGTTGGTGTGCAGAGATGGGGCTCTCCTGCTCAAGTCTGGCGCACCCCCAGAGTCTAGAATTTCCTCTTCTGTACCTACAACTCAACAAGGTCACCCCGGGTCACGGATATCTCATTTTTTAAAATGACGAGGTTAAGGTTCCTGACTGAGAGTGGTATTAAATTGCACGGGACTGGGGGTGGGAAAGGAGGAGAAAGTTTCCCCCACGTGAGCGTTTGCCCTTAAAAGTCTAGAGCCTGGAAGGTCGGAGTGGCCATTTGCACTCTGAAACTGTCTCCTCCATCTAATTCCCCAGTTCCCGATTTCCTTACTCAGTCTGTGTTTTGGTAATGAACGGGATATTTTGGCCGGGTCTTGCCTTTGGGTGGAAGGACTACTTACAATGACTATATATAAATACGATTCGCCTGGAGGATCAGGTGTGAAGGCGTCCTCCAGGCACATGGGACAAAGTTCTTCGGATCTTCACGACATCTGTCAATATACGTTTTAGAAAAAAAAAAAAAATCAGAAAACAGCCGTACGTCATGGGTTGGCGTTTTCTCACCAGTGTTAATCCTTGCTTGGGAACACAACCCAATCAGACCTGCCATTAAAACTCATTTCTCCTTGGTCCCTGGTAGAAAACAAAGTTCCCTCTCAAATTTCTACTGTTCTTCTTCCTAAGTCAGCAAACCAATTCGTGTAATTTGAGGAAAAAAAATACACTGGCTCCTCCGAAGAATGTCCGTGGGTTGTGTATGTGAGGAGAGCTAACCCAAGGACCACCCCACACATGCTGAGCTTTCTCTGAATTTGGGGGGGGGGTGCTGCTTGTGTTCTATGTTTTCTTGAATGACTCGGTGTTTTCAATTCATTGGTGTTAGCAGTAAAAACAGGCAAACAAACTTGCTCAATTTGTTTTGAGTACCAAATCCCTTCACTTTGAAACAGCTAACAGTCGACAGATGGACTCATTTTATGGAAAGAGTTTGCCTCTTCTGCCTGGGAGGAAACTGATGAGAGACCTGCGTTTCTCTAACCTTGTAACTTCAACGAAAACTCCAAGCTTTCTCTTCTTACCCAATGGAAACTCAGAGCAGTGCCATTTAAAGGAAGAGAAACAGGAGAAAAACAGCCACACACTGTTTTATTTTTATTTTTTATTTCCTCATTGTTTCTGAGCCTTTTGGAGGAAAAAAAAATCAAGTGTCTTCAACAAATCCTTCAACTGGACTCTGGTCTCACCTCTCTGGAACATGTCCTGGGCAACAGCATTGTCCACAGTGGAAGGACCTGCCCATCCACTATTTCTGCTGGCTCCTCACCCTCCAAAATAATGGGCGAATGCCTCACTTCTGCCTTTTCTCCCTTTGCGTTAAAACGAGACAGTAAGAGGTGCTTACAGTAGACCAGCCTGGCCAGGAGCTCGTGGCAAGTCTGGTATACAGAAAAGTGGGAAGAATGTGAAAACCAAGCCCGGCTTGAGACCAGAGAAAGAGAAAGGAGCTGCGCTAGAGAGCCCCGCAGAGCTGCGCAGGCAACTCTTTCCCCACTTGAAGGATTCGGAGGTTTGCTAGCAGGGCTGGGGGAAGGGGCTCCGGGAAGCGAGGCGGCGGCTTCACTCTGCCCTCTCTCTCCACCGGGAATCAACCCCACCCGGCCTGGTTAACCCCAGCCCGGGCGGCTGCAGTCCCTCTGTGCTGAGCTGGGTCCTCTCAGCTTCGCCCAGCCCCAGTACAGCTGAAGTGAGCAGCTGGTGGGAAATGCAAATGGCTCCTGGAGAAATAGAAGATCCAGAATGATTCTCATTCCCTCCTCGAGTGTGGGGAAGGAGCTGGACATACGTTTCACGCTCCTAATCCTTCTTTTACATTTTTAGTCATACCCCCATTAAACAACTAATTAATGCTCAGAATCACCAGGGAATACATTAGGCATGCAGCAGGGAGGCAGGGTGCTGGGGGTGGGCAGGGTTGGGTAACGAACCTCTGAGCTGATTTAAGACGTGGATTTCAGGGTGTTTTTTTTTTTTTTTCTCCTTCTTCTTCTTCTTCTTCTTCTTTCCCTTCGTCAATGCAGCAACGCCAGTGTGGGCCACAGAGATTGTATTTTTCGAAGTAGAAGGAGTTAGTAGAGGGAGAGTCCAAGCCAAGCAGGCAATTCCCTGCTCTGGAGATGTAAACAAGATTGTAGCATCAAAGGTACTAGCTCCTGAAGGGCCAGGTCGTCTGGACTGGGAGCCTGGGCTTGGGAGACACTGACCTGTGTATCAGTGAATTTCAAGGATGTTACGCTTTTACATAAACAACTCCAGTGCGAGAGCCTGGTAATCCCTGGTTAACACACACACACACACACACACACACACACACACACACACACCACACAACACACACACTATAGAATGTCTCAGCAGTACCCGACACCCTCAAGTTTACATCCTTTCTGCTTTTCCCAAAAATCTGGACTGTATCTACAGATAACAGCCTTCCAGTAAAGCAAAGCATTGGAACATTCCCTTTAATTGTTTCTGGTGACTCGTCCGTGGTCTTATTTAGGGAGGGGATGGGAGACCAAGGAGGACACACGGCCTTAGAAGAGAGCAGCAGGGTGCTGGCTCCACAGATTCGGATGTTTTTTTTAGGGAGATTTTGAATTTTCTTCACCCCAACGATGTTTTGAACCAGTACACGTGGTTGTCAGAGCAGGGAATTAAAAAAATGGGGAGCTTACTGAAGACGAACATTTTGTGATCACAGAGGGCAAAAACCAAGGATAGAGACGGGGTGACCCCAGGCAACTCACTCATCCCAATCCGGATTTAGAAAAGGCACCCTATTCTTCTCAAGCCCGCTGTGATGGGCTGCAGGCTGCCATTTACTTCCCCCAGTCTTCAGCACTGGCGAGCAATTGCCCTGGTTCCTTTATCTGACAACAAGCAAGTATGTAAATATCCGTGGCTAGTGATGTTTAACTGCTTCCACAAATTATTGATTTGTTGGTGCTTCTGAATTTTTCCCCCCAGTCCAGATCTTGTTTCCGAATTATCTATCTGAGAGGTTCGATCAGGGTTTTTGATGCTACAGTATAGTTAATTGTTGTTTGTAAAAAGGCATTTAAGATGAACTGATTGATTTGCATATAAATTAAAATTATTATGCATTGTCTATTCCTGTTTTTTTTATAATCATTGTGAAATTAGTACTTAACCACTTGAGCTAAAAGAATATATAAACGTCTGTATTGACTCACTAATGAATTGCCTAATTAAAACGTCCTGGGAACGCTGTGTTAAATCTAGACAGATTAGGAGAAGGGTGGGTTTTGGAAGATAACAGATCAGCACCTAGTATTCTGAGTCGTGCAGTCCGAGCCTTAATTTTGCAGTACAGGTCTTGCTCTGCGGTTAGTGGTTTTGTATTTGTTTGTAAATTAATGAAGTGGAAAAGAGAACGCCATTGGCCGCAACGTCCCTGGCCCTTTGCTCTGCCTGGAACCCTCCAGTCCCAACCCAGAAGAGCTACTGCGGCGGAGACTCGGGCCTGCCCCGAGGTGCGGGTCTCCTCGGGTCCGCGGGCCAAACTTTCCCGGCGTTGGGGTCTGCGCGGCAGGCCGAAGAGAGCCGGAGCGCTGCTCTCCGTGCGGTCCGAGAGCTGGAGCCAGCGCGGACATTTAATAGATAAACTAACTGAGCATTCACCTTCGTCCTGAGACGGGGAATGAAAGGTAACTCATCTGAAGAGGGGGCGGTGCGAGGCGCGCTCCAGGAGTTCAGAAAAGGCTGCCGCTGGGAAATCTGTAGCCCGGGGGCTCGCCAGCCTGCATCCCCTTTCATTTCAAGCACTTATTGATTTGCTGTTGTCATCTTTGGCGACGCAGAAGGACACTTAAAAGAATTTCTGATGGGGCTCTGATCTGAGAAAGTAGGTGACCCGCCTAGGCTCCCACCAAATTGTTAATTACCACATCAACTGCTTTTTTTTTTTTTCCCCATCCCCCCCCCCTACCCTTCCGAATCCTTCCCCCATGG